GCGGGGCTCCCCCGCCGCGCGCGCCGGCCACAGGGGCGGGGCGAGCGCCGCCGGGGACCGCCTCTTAAAAGGGCAACGTCCTAGTACGGAAGCCCCGCGCGGGGAGCCCCGCCGCGACGCCCAGTTAAGAGAGAGTTATGGGCGGCTGGTCTTAAAGGGGCGACAAGCTGCAGCCCCACGCCGTCTGGCGCGGTTAGGAATGGAGCCTCAGGCGCTTCTTTAAAAGGGGAATGGAGTTGTGCTGGGCGGAGTGCAGAACCCGGAGGGGCGGGCGGAGCTCGGAACTGTCAACTCTGGCACCGCCCCGCTCCGCCCCAGGCTCCCGAGTGACAGGTGGAATCGCAGCCCAGGCTTCGGCCCCCAGGCCTGTTTACCACCCACTCCAAAGTGGGGGCTGACATTGCTATAGTGCCCTCGGCTCGCACCCCGCCCGGAACCTCTTTGCACCCCTAGCTCAGATCTGGGTAGTGTCTGAGGAGCCTGGAGCTCCCACTGAGGCCACTCAACAGCTGGCTCCCTTCTCCCGGGGCAGGCTGGATTTAGGGACTCCCTGGCATCTTCCAATTCCCTGTCCTCTTGAAGCCCTGCAGTCAGGCTACCCAGACTCCTAAGCCTTCGGGACAGAGCCGCAGGCTGTTCTCCAGGTGAAGTTCACAAAGGTCTTGGGCTGCGGTTTTGTTCTGACTCCCCGGTTTGGCCTTGATTTGGATCCCTAGGGATTGCATTGAATTGGTGAAGTGTGACACTGAGCTTTTGCTCTTCGGTCTTTTTTTATACTCACTCCAGAGCATGGGTAGTGGTCCTGCTTTTTCCTTGTCCCCTTCCCCCGCGAGGTTTGTCCTCCCTGGCTGCTGGCCAGGGTCCAAGCCATTGACTTTGTGCTTGCTCTTTAGATCCCCTGGGTGCTGACGACCGCTCTCAGTGTGCTGGGACTCTCCATAGCCTAGCTTCCATAGCCTAGCCTCCCGCTGCCTCCCACCCTTTTCTTTTGTTTTCTTCTCTCATCCCCATTCCATCTTTATAAAGCTTTCCAGAATTTCTAGTTCCCTCCGCCTTGAATCTTACTTCCTGTGTTCCCAGAACGGGCTGTGTGGATTGCCTGGTGTCTGTTAGAACAGGGATGGATCCGGCGCCTGTGTGTGTGTGTGTGTGTGTGTGTGTGTGTGTGTGTGTGTGTGTGACTGTGGCACTGATGGGGCCTCTGGGGGACCTCTCTGTAGCCCCTCCAAATACGAGTCTGACCTGACTCTGATCTTGGATGAATGACCTCCTGTACCCTTCCTCTTATCCTTTCTTCTCCAAGAAGTTTAGACTTCCAGGTGCCTCTTCCCCCAGGAAGACCCTCCCTGACACTGCTGCCCTGCTGCACTACAAACAAGTCAGGTGGCTGCCACAGTGGAGTGTGCTGTTGGGCTGCTGCAACCACAGGCCCCTAACCCAGCCTTTCAGTTGCAGGCTGCTGGAGGCTCAGGGGTGGCTTTGCCACTGCAATGGACAGCTGGATTGTATTTCAATGAAAAGGTTGCCTTTCTGCGAAATTTCAACGGCATTGGAAGTTTGGTCTGCTTATTGCCTTTCAGGAGCTGTTAGGAAAAAAAATAATCGAATCCTCTCTCATCCTGCTCCTAGGTCAGCCAGAGCAGTAGAAGGCAGCCTATCAAATGAAACTCCTAAGATAAATCCCTGAATCATCTGTGTAAGTTGTCCTGTTTTCTCCTCTCCATTCTATGGCCTTCCTGGCAGGACCAACCAAGCATACAACTAGTACAAGGTAAATTATTCTTAAAGATGCCAGGCAAGGCCAATTACAAAGCTTCCTTTCACTCGTTTTCTGGAATGCACTTCATTTTGCTTCTCTGCATTTCTGTTGCAAATTAAACTTTTTTCTTACTTGATTCCCAGCCGAATGGGAAAACAGCATGTCACTCTTTTCTGCACTAAAGAAAAATATACTTGGAGCTCTTATGCAATTCTTCTTGCCCTATTCTTTTCCAAATTAAACAGTGCCAGATTCTTTAACCTGTCATCAATAAGGCCTATTTATTATCTGGATTTACATAGTGTCTTTTACCCCTGGAACTCAAAATGCTTTCAGATATAATTGAGCCTGATCTCCCTGGTGCCTGAGCCATTAAGAACCCATTAGTGTATTACTGTTGCAAGCAACTAAATGGCCCCCTAGTGGTCTGAAAGTGAATATGCTTCTCTAATTGCCTCTCCTCCCTAAGGGTAGCCAGGAATCAGAATCAAGGCAGTTTAGGGACACAATGGACTCAAAAAGCCATCCGGTATGAATAACACCATCAACCTTAGCACCTCCACCAGCCTCCTCCACAACGTTCCTATTGGACGGTCAGCTAAATTATTGTTTCTGATCCCGAACTTTATTGTCCACTTCTTGTGACAACCCTCTGAGTCTTTGGAAAGTTCTGATCAATTGTAACCAACAACGGCAAGAACCATGCGCTCTTGGTTCATAGTCTCAGCAACGTTTCGGGTAGTTACTATTGACCCTCATTTTGTAGAAGAATCTGCTTCAAAAATGTTAGGGAACTTTCTCAAGGTCTCATAGAATTTAAAGCCAAGTCTTTCTGACTGTAGGACATTAGGTTCTTGATTCCTGCTCTGCTCTGCCTCAGAGGTGCAGCTGACCTTTGCAGTGAATGCATGGGGCGCTCCCAGACCGCCCTCAGAATGAGGACACGTTCCTCTAGCTCTGGAGAGCCCCGGCTATTCATTGTTCATAGCTGCTCCTGTTCCTGGAAATTGCCTTCAGAAACCAAAGAAAGCTGCCCTTTTCTCTGTATCTATAAGACCAATAAAGAAAGCCTACTTGCACAAATCCAAACTAGAGATATGCAAGTCCTGCCTGGAAGACTGGTTCCTGCAGGAGCTGCAGAGGTAGCCACTGGGTACTAGTCAGAGTCAGGAGCAGATGCATATAGGCTAGGCAGAGGTGTGTGTGTGCATGCGTGTGTGCGTGCGTGCGTGTGTGTGTGTGTGCGCATGCGCGTAGATTGGGGCGCTGAACATTCAGCTGAGTTAGGAGACTTGGTTGTAGATATCCTGTTAAGGATTCTGGAACACAGAGTGACATGGAAATTCCAGAACCACCATGGCAGAAGGTGAAAGAAATGTTTAAAAATTCAGGGCCAGCCAAATAGCTCAGCGATTAAAGCAACTGCAAGCAGGCACAGGAGTCAGGGGTTGGATCCCTAGGCCTGCTGTGCTGGCCCTGTCCCCATAGCACACTGAGACAGCAATTGAGACTAGGCATGGTGGTGCACATCTGTAATTCTAGTTCTTGGGAGGCTGTAAACAGGCGGATCACTACAAGTCCAGTCTAGTAGTGAGACCCTGAACACCCTGTAGACCCTTTCCTAAAATACACACACAAAAAAATTTAAAAACTCAGAGAGCTAGGTCACATGTATTATAGCTGTAATCCCAGGTACTGAGACTAGAGAATTGAAAGTTTGAACACAGACTGGGCTACATAACACTTTAGTGAGAAGATGTCTCAAAATGAAAAAAATAAAAAGGGCTGGGGATGTAGCTCAATGTGAAGGCTCTGGATTCAATCTTCAGAACTATTGAAAGTAAAATATCTCACACTATGGTCAGTGATCTGTGTATGGCCATAAACCCATGTAAATCCTGCAGGAATGCCCAGAGGATATTGTGGGATGGAAACAATAAGGGATGGCTGGTGAGAGAGATTCTAGTGCCACAGAGTAGCTCACTTTTGCTGTCCTTTGGAGACCAGCAAGAAGCCCTCTCAGGCCTGGCGAGATAGCTCAGCGGACTAAGTGCCTGCTTAAGCAAGGGCAAGGACTAGTTCGATTCTGGTACTGCATGCCATGTTGGCCACAGCCTCTGGCTCAGCTGAGCTGGTGACCCAGTCAGGCCGTGGTGGTGCACGCCTGTTATCCCAGTGCTGGGGAGGCTGAAAACAGGAGGATCACTACGCGTCAGATCTGCATAGTGAGACTCTGTACAAAATACACTTAAAAAAAAAAAAAGAAGAACCCTTTCAGAACTGGCTTCTAGGTAGCATTGGGGATAGCAGGTCTCTCATGGTTTGGGTTTTTTGCAAGGGGAACAACATAATACAGGATACATTTCATAATTCATTTTATAATGAATCATATACAAGAAGTACAGGAAATCCATCCACACACATAAACATAAAGACTCCAACTGAGGACCTACATTCTAGTATCCTGCATGAGTCTAGCTTAAAACCTAGAGCTCATCACAATGCTTCCTACAAGTCCAACTGAAGGCCTAGAGCCCGTGACAATGTCCCATGCATGTCCACTTCATGGATCTGTGCTGCAAAGGCCAAAAGGTCAGTGGTGGAAGCTAGGAAGTCTATGTCAGCGGGATGAAGGATCTGTGCTAGCAGCCTGAGGGATGTGAACTGGAGCCAGGAAGCAACGCTCAAGGTAAGCACTGAGCTACCCCAAAAGTACCACAGCGATCCTCAGCAATAGTGAGGTCCCGAGCTCCTCCAGCAATGAGGAAAGCCGAGTTCCCATCAGGAAAGCCAGTGCAACAAGCCTCTCCCTGAGGCTGAGCAGTGTACCGTCTTCTCCTTGGGAGCCAGGAAGCGATGCTCAAGATGAGGACCAAAGCTCCTCCAAAGTTCATTGGGAAAGCCAACAGGACAAGGTCCTCCAGAAGAACAGCCCAAGAGAACTAGCGGCCTCCAGCAGCCCCAACAGTGTCTCCAAACTGCATCCTTAACAGTGTCCTGGCAGCTTTTCCTGTTCTGCCTTT